TGTGTTTTCTTAGTATATATATATATATATATACACACACATATACACAGACACACATATATACACAGAAAAACAGATAAAAGCATGTGTGTATGCGTGTGTGTTCTATCTATCTATCTATCCATCCATCTATCCATCCATCCATCTTCCTAATTTTATCTGCTGAAAGGGTCTAGGAGCAATTATATCTCAGAAGCAAGGACCACATAGTACCCAGATCTTGGTTTCTAAACACTGCTGAAAGAGGCTATGGCCCCTTAGAGAAATGGCTGATTCCAGAGTGAGAGCAAGGAAAGTACAACATGAGCCTGGAAAATCTTATTGAACTGGAAATTAAGGACGTTCTCACAGAATGATGGAACATATCAAAAGGACACAGACTCCAACTGGCAGGAACCCCCATTGGCCACATCTGGGGCAATCTGAGCATCACTATAATATTAATAGATTATGATCCACAAGTAAAATAGAAATACTTGAGTTCATACTGAAATAAACACATTCTTAAAATGAGGAGAAAGAAAAACTTTCTTACGTTAAAATGATAACTAATAGATGTTGAAGGAATAATATAAGTAGAAACATCATCATTTAGCAACTGTTATAGTAAATATTGATTTAGGCAAGAATCATCAATGTGTGCTAAAACTAGAAGGTAAGAGTTTTAAGAGGAACATAAATTTATATAATCTCAAAATATGTCCTGACCAAAAAATTGTTGATTGCAAAGTGAAAGATAGAAACTTAACATTGCAGGAATCTGGCATCAGTGTCCAAAGTTAATATCCGTAGTTAACGGGTTAAATCAGTATTGTGTGCCACCTCATAGGAGATACTTATAACACACTTCTGTGATATGTCTGCCAAAAAATGCATCGCCTGAATCTGATCATGAAGAAAGATCAGACAACTCATTTAAGGGACATTCTACAAGATCATAGGCTTGTACTCTCAAAAGTATCAAGGTCATAAAAGACCAAGGAATGACTAAAGAATGCTTTCAAAATAAACAAATAAGACTATATTTGTAGTCCCCGAAAACTAAAATGTTTTTGTACAGCAAAGGGAACCATCAACAAAACGAAAAGACAACTGACTAAATGAGAGAAGATATTTGCTTATGATAAGAGGTTAATATCCAAAATATATAAAGAACTCATACAACTCAACAACAAAAAACAAACAATCTGATTAAAATATGGGCAGAAGACCAGAACAGATATTTTTCCAAAGAGGAAATACAGTTGGCCAATAGACATATTAGTGGCTCAAGGTCACTAATCATCAGAGAAATACAAATTAAAACCACAATGGGATATCGTGTCACACCTGCCAGAATGCTTATTATCAATAAATCAAAAAACAACAAGTGTTGGTGAGGATATGGAAAAAAGAGAACTCTCATATACTGTTGGTGGGATTGCAAATTGGTACAGCCACTATGGAAAACAGTCTGGAGGTTTCTCAAAAAATTAAAAATGGATATACCTTTTGACCCAGCAATTGCACTTCTGGGTATTTATCCAAAGGAAACCAAAATAATAATTCGTAAAGATCTATGCACCAGTATATTCACAGTAGCACAATTTACAATAGCCAAGATATGGAAGCAACTAAATGCCCATCAACAGATGATTGGATAAAGAAGTTATGATTCATATATGCAATGGAATATTACTCAACATTAAAAAAACGAAATCCTACCATATGCAAAGACATGGATGGACCTAGAGGTTATTATGGTGAGTTAAATAAGTCAGACAGAGAAAGATAAATACCATATGATTTCACTTATATGTGGAATCTAAGAAACAAAAAGAACAAAAATAAAAAAACAGACACAAATATAGAGGACAATCTGGTGACAGCCAGAGGAGAGGAGAGTTTGGGGGCTGGAAGAATGGGGTGAAGGGTTAAAGAAGTACAGGTTAGTAGTTGATAGATGGTCACGGGAATGGGGAGCATGACATGTGGAATGTAGTTAGCATTAATGTAATGGGTAGGTGGAGAGCCAGAGGAGAGGGAGAGCAATTAGGGGGATCGTTTTATAGACTATATAAATGTCTAACTTGAAATAATAATAAAGTAAAAATTTTTTTAAAGTATGCTTTTAGATTGTAGGAGACTAAAGAGACATAAACTAAACTAAATCTGAATTGGATCCTTTTTGCTATAAAGGCTTTCATTGGGACAATTGAAAAATTTGAATGGGGCCGTGGGTTAGATGGCGGTATTTAAACAATGTTAATTTCCTGATTTTGATGACTATATCTGGCAATGTAGGAGATATCTTTGTTTTTTAAGA